TGGTCTAGTAGGGGTTAACGATGATATTAGAATGTACTTCAGTGTCCTCGTCCGAGGTCAGGGCACATACTCCAACTTACTCCCGTAACTTTTTTTATTTTGCAGGAGTATTGCGAACTGATTTGTTCCCTGACATCCCCGACCGTCCTATCCCCTAAAAGCAGGTGTCCGTAAGACCGAGGGGTGTGCTTCGAGCCGCACTTAGGCGGCCCCACGACAAAATCCTACCTATTAACCTTTCATTCCTCGACAGACTCCCTCCCTAGAAAAATCTAACACATAGGATTTAGGTCATGGGCCTTCCTCTCTCGCAACAAAGATTAAACTCTTCTAAACCGATAGTTGCTTTTCTTCAAGAAGCGAAAAAGAAACCAAAGTATTTTTATTCTTGTTGACGAAACCAGCTAAGAACAGAAGCGGCCGGCTTAAATGCGGTAACAAATCTCGGTAGATATGTCTTCCTCTTTACTAGACCATTTAAGCTTATGCTTGCAGTTCAATCATATTTACAAGTAGCTGTCATGCGATATGGAACCCCCATGTCGCAACTACAATAGGGTACCTCAATGAACTTATCCCCAGTTAGCGTAAATATTTAGATAAGCCTAACGCCTTTAGATACTTGAGAGTTTAAACAAGCATATAAGGAGGTCAGGAACGGACGCAACTCTCTAAGGGCCACTGTTGGCCGCGCGAAACGCTCGTCTTTCGCGGCTGCTAGCGCGTGCGTACGCACTAGTTTTTGCCTACTTTAACTCGGTCGGCCAAGCATATCCCTGTGGCCGACTCCCCAATGACTGCGCTGTGGACACTGTGATGACTCCCGCACTCTCACATTTCGGCGGTCGGCCCCCTCGCGGCTGGTCGTGCGTTCTTTCGACTGTCAACTTCCTCCAGCCTACTCTCCACTACCTTCTGTACCAAATTTACCATTCCTTTCATCTGACGTTCCACTCCTCTTACCACACGGAATCGGCCCTGAAGATCGCAGCGGTTAGGGTCTTCCCTAGTAACTTAAGCCATGCGATAAGCCCGCCGGTTTAGTTCAGTACTCATCAATCCAAAATATTGCCCTGAAGATTATGGACAAAATCTTGAGGAAGAGAAATTGATGACGACCGTATTTTCCCCAATTTCCATAGCTCACATGTCCGTGCTGGCGTAATCGTTTATAATATCGAAATCATGCTTTGTGGGGAAAACAAATACTTTCTTATCTTACTTTGACTGACAGTTCTAGCGTCGGGATCAAAGTATTCCGCTGTGTGCCAGTGGGATGGCGCAGCATCAGTGATTTGTGCGTGAATTAATGTATAAGCTGATAGGCTTGTGAAGCATCTACCATACCTTCTTCCTCACCCACTTAGTTATAATGGGAAGACCACTGGCGGTGGGTGGATGTGTGCAGTATCTGGCAAAAGTAACTTGGCGTCTACGCCTGCTACACACAAACTGGTCTCTACCTAATGTGGTATGTTTACATGGAGGACGTCTCAGATCCGTCAGTGTCTTAAAGATCACAGTAAGAAGGAGTCATTGGCCCCCAGGTCTGTAGTCCGCTCTTCCATACATGAACTACTAGGACTGCTCCTACGTTTCACATGCATGACACAGTCAGTGTCACTGTCAGGCACTGTCACATATTTTCGCGTTGCCTTAAGTCAACAAAATAGGCGGTGCCATTTAGTTACCTGAAACAGATATGCAAAGGTGAACATCAGTGAGGGAAAGATGCTATAGTCGAGTCGGTTGGGACTTAGGTAGTGCGCAAGGGTCAGGACCGCAGCAACCACCACCGCGGCCACAAATATCAGAACCCACACCGCGCCGTCGAATGCGACCACAAACTGGAAGATTTGCCTGGATGCAGAGAGGGTTGGCTTCTTGTAAAAGAAATTGAACTGCTCGCTGTAGAAGGGTGCGGTAGGATGAAAATCTGTCGTCAGCGGCTGAACTGCCGCATACGGTCCGGCAATCATATCGAGATCCTGAAACATAATCAAAATAGGATTTAATGTAAAGAAGAATATGTCCCGGTAATGTGTACAAAGTAGTGGACTAAGAACCTAAGGCAATCTCTGGGGAGGATGGTATATTCATCGTCTGACGTTTCACCCTCGTTCTTCAGCCCATTGACGGAAATAGGGAAAAATAGTAAATACATGGTTTAAATAAGCCCCTTTCTTTTTCACGCCTGATAAGTCCATCAGGGTCTGTTCTCATTGGTCCGTTCTTCTTGTCTAAGTAATGTTTAGCGGCCTCATATAGTGCCGGTAGATCTATCCTTCTGTTGATAGAGTTGGTGTCCGATTGCCGGGCCTCTATAACTTCTCTCGCCATCTTGTCTTCTACGCGGCCGATTACATTTGCACTTTCGAAGACGAACTGGTGGTCATTTTCGAGGCTGCACATGGCGACATGCGAGAGGACATATTTTCGCCTTACGGTTAAGCTTTGCTCATGCGTGCGCGATTTTAGCCAGTTAAACGTCCATATGAGGCCGTTAAACACCACTTAGACAAGAAGAACAGACCAATGAGAACAGACCCTGATGAA